AGAGAAAGAGAGAGAGAGAATGAATGAGAATGGCAACTCCCTAGTATCTGGAGAACTCAGACAAGTTCTAATACAGTGCAGACACTCAAATATTAAAAACAATAACCTTCAGTTACGCAAGCAATGCAGCAATCCTAACCTCCTTGTCCAGGTTTCACTGGCAGGCTCATCTCTGGTTTCTGGAGCCCTACTAATGGCACGGGGTTAATGGTGGAAGAAGCTGAGAGTTGATTAGAAAAAGGCCCATCTCCTTCACCATCCAGTTGTGACCTTTCCATAAGTTCCTTGTCCCCTGGTTGGTCATCCATGGGAGGATCCATCAGCACATCTGCTAACTCTTTTTGCAGCTGTTGCTCACTTCCATTCCCTACAATCTACAGGTCAAAAATCAGCAAAGTGAGAAAAGAGTGGTGTCAATACAGATTAAAATGGTTTCACATTCTAAAGAAAATTATTAGCATTTCTTGTAATGAAAAGATAGCTTCTCAATGTTTTTTAAAAATAGAATTAATCAAGATCTACAAATAAGGACTCCAGCTGCTCTCTTAATTCAGTTTTTCATGCAGAAGTATATTGATTGAGCCCACTGTCCAGAAATTTATGGATTAGCCTGCCAATGTTGTTAATGTTTTTTACACTGTCTTAAAATAAGGGCAATTAAAATATTTCTAATTTTATTTGTCCAATGAGAAGTGATGTTTTTAAGAGGAATATCTTTAGCAGCTTCTTTTAACGTAAAGAAAAAATAATGGGGCTGTGGCTGAGTGGTAGTGTGCTTGCGTCACATATGTGAGGCACTAGGTTCGATCCTCAGCACAATATATAAATAAACAAACAAACAAATTAATAAAGATATTATATCCATCTACAGCTAAAAAAAAATTTTAAAAATGTGCTTTTTTCCAATTTATCAACAGAAATATTCCTATAAGGTAATCGATTTCCACATACACTTTTAAGACTTTTGCTATAAATAAATCTGCTGTATTTCTGAAGGAGACTTCTTTGATATGAACACGTTCTTAAAGTTCTAAAACACGAATAAAGCTGAGGAGATGAGTGTAAAAAAGTACTGAAGAATAAAAGCACTGTTTTCAACAACATCAAGTATTTTTGTAGAGTCATGATGGTTTATTTAGTTGCTCAACAGGAAATAAACAAGTGCAAAATCAAGTGATGCCCGCCCAACACTAAGAAAAACCACACGACAAAATCTAGTATTGTCACTAATTGTTTATTCAAGAAGTAATGGAAAAATTAACAAAAGAATTTAGAAGGAAAGAAAGAAGGGGCTGACTTCTAAGCCCAAGACTTTTGAAGACTAAATCCTGAAAAATTAAAATGGGTTGGCTGTGGGATTGTTAAAGGAAAAAAAAAAAAAGACTATTTAGCAAAATTGAAGTTAAAAAGCAAAATTCACATCTGGGTACATCTGGGCTACCAAGGAATCCAGTTCAAACATCTTTTAATGCTTTGGGCTTTTGTAATCCTACAAACTTCAATTTTCTTAGCCTATAAATCCTAATTGAGAAACAGTTTTTAGACTATTTGACTATATTTTCCTGAGAAAATTCTAGCATTTCAACTACTTTTGTCATGGAATTAAAGATCTATGGCTTCAATGACAGCTTTTCTTTCTGTGAACTTCATTTTATGATGGAAGTTATTGCTACTGGAACTACAAGTGGGTTGAGTAATTTTAACTGTTTGTTAAACCTGGTTCTATACTTCTAAAAACTGAATTTTTCCAGTTCTGCTTTAAATAGTTTTCAAAGCACCTAAAAAACAAATTAGAACTCAGTTTCAAAAAGCCTCTGATTCTTTTAAAGATGGTAAAATAGTGTTTCACCTGGACTAAACAAAACAGAGCTTAACTGAACCTAAACTGCTTCCAAGGGTAAGGAGAAATAACATAGGAGTTACAACTTCCTGAAGACAAAAAGTGAGAAGATATCAGACTCCCTCTTTAAGCAATTAATAATTACAACTAGAAGGAAAATAGAAAGATTTATTTCACATGCTATAAAGTGCTCTTTTGCTTTTTAGTATATGAGGTAAGTGAACCCAAGTGTTCTGTGGGATAGGCTGCCTCCACTGTAATATATTTACCAATTACAGAATATGCCTACTTTGAAAGTATACATATATATATGTATATATAAATGTTGTCTTTGTGTTTATACATATTTATTTTTAATGTTTCCCTAGTTTAAAAATTTTACAAACAATTATCTTATGTTTCCTTAACTTTTCCATAAAGGCTAGGAAAATGTAACGTATGCATACAAATTTTATTTATTTATTTATTTTTGGTACTGGGGATTCAACCCAGGGCTGCTTTACCACTGAGCTATATCCCAGTTCTTTTTATTTTTTGAGACAGAGGCTTACTAAATTGCTGAGGCTGACCTCAAAGTTGTAATTCTCCTGCCTCAGTCTATGGAGTTGCTTGGATTATTAACGGCCAGTGCCACAGAGCCCAGCTAAAATTTGACTTTTAAGAGTTGTTTAAGGGGCTGGGGTTGTGGCTCAGAAGTAGAGTGCTCACCTAGCATGAGTGAGGCACTGGGTTCAATCCTCAGCACCACATAAAAATAAAATAAAGGTCTTGTGCCCACCTACAACTAAAAAATGAATTAAAAAAAAAAGAGTTGTTTAAAAATACCAACCTATTGGAGCTGGCATCATAGTGGTAGAGTACTTGCCCTGCAGGTGTGGGAGGCACTGGGTTCGGTCCTCAGCACCATATAAAACTTAATAAATAAAATAAAAGTATTGTGTCCATTACAACTAAAAAAAAAAAAAATTAAAAAAAATAGCAACCTATCCAAAGCCTTAGATAATAAGGTCAAATACAATACCTCAATAATGATCATGTTGATCCCTCAACATGTTGAGTTTCTAATTCAGTAAATCTGGGATAGGGCCTGATATTTTTTGCATTTCTAAAAAATTCCTAGGAAATAATGATGCTGTTGACCTAAGGAATTCACTCTGGGAAACAATCTTAAATTAATGATTTTTAATTTGACTATATAACACACCTCCCACCCCCACAACTAAATCAGTATCAGATAATGGACAGCCTAGGTATATTCGTTTTAAGACCACACGTGATTCTGATATACTGAGAAATACTGCCATAGATCAAAATCAAACTAAAATGCCAACATAATATTTTATTCAGAGGCTCCACACAGGCATCAAAATAATCTCTGGCACTTTCTGAAAACGCAAATCACTTGACTTTACCTAAGAAATCTCTCTCTGCATGGGCCACTAATAGCTATATTTTTTAAAAAGCATCTTATGAGATTTTTTATGTGCAATAAAGTGTGAGAATCACTGGTAGGACTTACAGAGTTCATTTATTTATTTGCCTGTCTCTGCTAGTGTGGCTGAAAAATTAAGTAGTTTAGTTTTCAAGCCTCCCTTATAACTCTGGCTTAATATATCAGACAAATTTAGACACTGAGATAAACAGAAGTTGTCTGGGGAGGTCTCTGGAAGACTTTTTTCCCCCAAGCATGAAGGCTGGGAATGAAGACTGAAGTAGAGCACTTGCCTAGCATGCTCCAGGAACACAAAAGAAAAAAGAAAAAAACACCATGACTGGTACCATCCCCTTGCCATGGAATAGGAATACGGAACCCTGAGAGAAGTCTTATGACAATGAGGACATCAGAACAAAAAGTCCATAAAGCCAAAATCAATAGAGTAAATTAAAAAAAAAAAAACAACTTTGGTCTTTAATGGTATAGATCAGGAGTTGAAAATTTTCTTCTATAAAGAGCCAGATAATAAATATTTTAGACTCAGCCAAACATCTGTAATCCCAGGCTGAGGCAGAATACCAAGTTCCAAGACAGCCTGGGCCACTAAGGAAGACACTTTCAAAATGAAAAGGGCTAGGGAGGTAGCTGAGTGGTAGAACCCTTGCCTAGCACATATAAGGACTTGGGTTCATTCAATACCCAGTTCAATACTGCAAAAATAACAAAAACAGTTTTTTATAAGTGTTGCAAGCCCCGTGTCCATGTGTCTGTAGTCTGTTACAACTACTCGAATTTGCTATAACATGAAAGAAGCCATAAACAACAAATAAACAAGTGTGGATGTGCTACAATAAAGTTCATTTACAAAAACTGATGGCGGACATTTTCTTTCCTTCTGTCAATAGCATTTCTGATATATACAACTATCATCTCTAAAATATGGTTTCACATAAAGTAATTAAGACGGTATGGTGTTAGAGAAAGGGCAAACACACAGATGAAACAGAATCCAGAAACAGACACAAACATAGATGATCAAATGATTTTCAACAAAGTTGGCAAGGTAATTCAATGGACAAAGGTAATTACTCAAATAAAACAAACGGTGCTGGAACATTTAACCTGATATCCATATGTGAGACATACATCTCAGCCAATACTTCATATTATATGTAAAAATAAACTCAATGAATGACATACAAGTATAGTCTACAACTATAAAACTTAAGAAGAAAACAGAAGAAATCTTTGTAATCTTGGGATTCAAAAATTTCTTAGAACACAAAAAGTATGAACCATCAAGGGAAAAACTGAGAAAATAAACTATTAGAATGAGGGCTGGTGACAAGGATTGGTGGTAGAGAGCTTTTCTAGCATGTAGAAGTTCTGGGTTCCATCTCAAGCACAACAACAACAACAACAACAACTAAAAAGCTAAGAAAATAAAAAGCCACGGAGCTGGAGAAAATATTTGCAAATCATGTATCTGATGAAGGACTTATACCAGAATTTACAGAGAACTTTCAAAACTCAATAGTAAGAAAATAACTCAATTTTTAAAATGAGCATTTCACCAAAGATATGTAAAGATGGCAAATAGCACATGAACAGTAACTCAGTATCATTAACCAGTAGAGGAACTGAAACCACAACAGGATGCCTCTATACCTCTATAATATTGGCCAAAACAAACAAAAAACCAAAACAACAAAAAACACTTGACAATAATAAGAACTGGAAATAATATGGAAAACTCACATACTATGGTGGGAATGGAAAATGGTACAACTATATCCAACATATTTTATACTATAAATAAATAAATAGATAAATAAGGTGAGCTGGGGATGTAGCTCACATGTATGATGATACTGGGTTTAATCCCTAGTGTCAGAAGAAGAAGAAGAAAAAAAGTAGCAACAGCCAGATACAAAAGTCGGCAAACTAAATGATTCCAGTTAAATGGCATCCAAGAGAAGACCTAACTATAGTGACAGAAATGAGTAGTTTAGTTTTCAAGCCTCCCTTGAAGGGTTGTCAGGGACTGAAAATTGGGGGGCAGAGTTTTTTAAAAAAAGGCACAAAGGAACTTTTTGGAG